CAGAGCAGGAGGTTTAAGAACTGGTAAGACCATGTGTTTTGCTCAATAAATTCTACTCTTATTAAGATATTTCAGAGTCAGCAAGTGACCGGATAATCGGACACTGGCATGTTGGAATCGATGGAGCAGCCATGGCCTGTACAAGTCACAGGGTGGGTGGCTAAATGCCCAAATGAGGTGACAGTCATTTGGAAACAGCTAAACAGAGAATTGCAGAGGTTCTGTGCAAGGTCTATCAGCCTCTGGAGATAATAGGTCAGCATGATGAGGAATTGTAATGGCGAAACAACCTATGTCCTTACACACATATCCCCTAAACAAGCCACTTAGTGACATCAAAAGTGGAACAGTTCTGAAAAGATTTGTAAAAGTATTAAGAAACTACAAAAAACACTCCCCTGAAGCCAAGCCCTCCCCCACCCACTTTAAAAGCTTTCTTGTGGAAGCTACTACTAGCAAGAAATAATAAAAGAGCAAGAGAATTTGTAATCTGAGACACTGATGTAGTGTCACCACTATGAGAATATAGGAAAGCACAAACATTCTTCAAGGAAAATAATCTAGGAGGATTTTGAGTTCCAATAAATGTGAGTAATGTCTGACTGAGTTCAATTGCAGACTCCCTGAGGTGGTACAACTTTCTTTTGTAGTTTTTTTGTATTTAAGAACACTTTGGTTAGAATCTTTACCAAGTGGCAGACATGAAACCAATAGTTGGAGGAAGAAAAATGTTATCACCCATTTCATGGCTTTTTTAAGAAGCAGGAAGAATTTATCAGGTGATTAATTGATCCTATTTCAAAGACTGGTGAAATGTAAAATGATTAAAGACTGATTTTTCTAGATTATGTGAAAAGCAGTCATAATTTTTGAAAGAATGGTTTGTGAGCTGTTAAAAAGTTACACTTATGTCTTGGGTCCTTGGATACCAAAATAAGTGGGCCCTTAGGATCTTGTGGTTTTGAAGAACTCTAAAAGGCTGCAGAATTCAGAACATCTTAGGTGTATTCTGTTTTTCTATTCATGTATATTAAGTTGTATACTGTAAGGGGTTTCATCATGACATTGCCATACTTGCATAAAGGGTACTTTGATCGTATTTATCCAAATATATGGTCAAAGGAATATAGCCTGGAGTTGACAAGTGGCAAAGCCTTTGACAAATACCACCAGTGACCTCTGATTTCTCTCTAATGTCAGTTGTTCGTGTGTGTGTGTACAGCAATTAAAAAAAGATTTATCTATTTTGGATATCTTTATGCAAAAAATAAAGTTTGGAACCAGTAGAGTCTATGGGTAAGATGGTTACATTGGAATCAGATGACTGTGGACCCAAATCCTTCTCAGATCCTTACTTTCTAGCACTGTGAAATCGGGCAAATTACTTCATCTTTCCGAGCCTAGGCCTGTTGTGGCGTGGAAACACTGGGTGTCCAAATACAATGGTGACTCTATTTTGTGAAGTCATGCATGTAAAACACATAGCCTGGGGAGATTAAGAATTAAGAGTTATTTTTTTCCTTCACTTTTTTTTTTTTTAAATTGGTGGCGCTGGGGTTTGAACTTAGGGCTTCAGGATTGCAAAGCAGGTGCTCTATCACTTTCCCCCTTCACTTTTAAATGAATAATATATACCAGTTCATTTCAATACAAAGTAGAACATTATAAAGAAAATATGAATTTCTGAAGCAAAAAAGGGAAATAAACCTCCCCAAACATGATAAATATAGTCCAGAAGATTCAGTTAATAAAAGAGCATGTTATAAAAGTTGAATTTAGTCACATTTTTTTCCATTCTAGATAGTAGTTTTGCAAACAGTATTCTCTTAACTGAGCACTGAGAAGACATTTCCTCCTAGATTAATGAAGAGCAATACAGTAGCTGACAACTTGTATAAGAAAATAGGAAGAGCCCAGTTTTACTTTTGTGTCATTTATTAGCAAAATGACATAGATTAGACCTCTTAACTTCTCTGGGCCTTCTTTGCCGCAGGCTTACTTTACTTGAGTGAATTTCTTGAGTGAATATGATCAAAGTACATTTCATGCATGTGTGGAAATATTGTGATGAAATCCTTTATAATGTACAACTTAATATACATGAATTAAAAAAAGAAAAGTTTCTTACAGATAAAAATTGAAGTTCCCTTTATACTTCTCCTGGAATCCATTCTCTCTGCCTCTGAGAAAACCAGTGTGTCTACTTCCAATGGCAGATATTCTTCGTTGCCTAGACAGTATCCATGCCTACTCCTTCCCTTCCTAATAGAATCCCAATTGCTTTATACATCTACTCTGCTTCAATAGGACTTACAGTGCTGGGTGTGATGGTGTATGCTTGTAATCCCAGCACTCAGGAAGCTGAGACAGGAGGATCTTAAGTTCAAGGCTAGTCTCAGCTACATCAACCCTGTCTCCAAACCAAACCAAACCAACATCCCCTCAAACAACAACAACAACAACAACAACCAACCGCCCCCCCACCCATAACTCACTTATTAGGACATTTAGGAGAGGCAGCGAACTCCCCCTAAGCAGACTGGTTTCATCCAGTTACAGTGGGACCATTCCTTTTGCTGGAGTCTGGGTTAGACACTGACATGTGGTACAGTTTTGACTGTACCAATGAGACATGAGAGAACTCTTTCTTCTCTCCTGAGAGAAACACGCATAGGAAGAGTGTTTCTTTCTTCCTTGCAATTTAATGTGCTGAGATGTGAAGTCTGAAATGTTGTAGTCTGGGGTTGTGAAGGGAGTCAGACTGCAGGCAGAACCGAGACAGTGAGAAGTCAGAAGAGAAATTGCTGATGTGACTCAGCAGCTCCATCCTCAACTCTGGATCCTTTCTGCTCTGGCCTCATGATGCGAGATAACAACTTCCCACTGTGCTCTGTGTCAACTGGAGCCAGAATTTTCTGTGACTTTTTGCTAAAATCATTCAAAATTACTTTTTTAGTCCAAGAGGTTATACATCCACTAGAGGAGAGGAGAGCAATGTGTACTTATTTTATGTTCATTACATTTCAGCAATTTGTTTTTTATTTTGTTCAATATTTAATTTTAGGGATTTTTGCCATGTTGAGACATCATAAGCATTGTATAATATTACATTGTATGAAAACAGTACAATTTATTTATTCATGAATTTATAGATGGGCTTTATGGTTAAAATTTTCACAAGTTCAAGAAATATAGCAATAAATACTTGTTCAGTGATGCTATTAGTACATATAGGAGTTTCTCTGTCTCTGTGCTGCCAGTGTGATAGCTACTAACTACATATAGTTATTTAAGTTAAAATTAATTAAAATAAAAGTTCAGGTCATTGGTTGCATTGATCACATTTTAAATGCTCCATAGCTAGCTTTATGTGGCTATGGATAGCACAGATATGGACAATTTCTGTCATCCTTAAAAGTTCTGTTGGGTGGCACTGCTCTAGGACGGTGCTTCTCAATATTTTTTCACAGCGTAGCACACATAGAAATGGTATCTATAATAGTTTCCTGGGATAAATGAACAGGCTTGCTCAAGCTTGGAGGAGATTGGTTTAGGGACTCTGGTTGCCCAAGTTCTTCTTATTTGCTCCAAGGAGTGAGGGACCAATAATCTAAGTACACCTATAACTCACTTACACTCATCATGATGCCTTCCACTGTGTACCTAGAAATGGTGTTGCTGGCACATTTTCAACCTTATGAGGTATTACCATGGTTATAACAGTTCATGCCTGCAAGTTCTTCTTCTCCTATATCCTTCACAACACTTGGTACTAGGAGATTTTACTTTGCCAGTATGACAAATATGAGTTTATGTGCTATTATTTTAGTTTGCATTTTCCTTATTTTTGGTTTGGTTAAACTTTTTTTTTTATAAATGGTATTTCTTTCTGAGTTTTCCTGTTCATATCCTTTGTTTATTTTATATTGTTTATTATTTTAATTAATTTGAGATGTTTGTGTTTTTGGATGCTAGTTCATTTGTTAGTTTTATGTAGCACAACTATTATTTTGGTCTACAGCTCACTTTTATGATGTATGTAAAGGCACCAAAGTTTTAATTTTATTGTTATCAAGATTATCACCAACTGGGTGCCAGTGGCTCACACCTGTAATCCTAGCTACTCATGAGGCAGAGATTAGGAGGATCATGGTTCAAAGTCAGCCTGGGCAAATTGTTTGTGAGACCCTGCCTTGAAAAATACTAAACCAAAAAAGGGGATGGAGTGGCTCAAGTGGTAGAGGGCCTGCCTAACAAGCATGAGGCCCTGAGTTCAAACTCTAGTAACCTCCCCCCCCACACACAAAAAAAAGATTATCAAGCTAGGCTCAAGAGTTCAAGCCACTTTAGGCAACACAATGAGACCCATTCTCAAAGAACAAAACAGATATTGAGCTTTTCTTCTGTGTTTTAGCTTCTGTAGCTATTTTAAGAAATCTTCTAGTATCAAAGAGAGTGTCATAAAGATACTCTCTTTACATTTGCTTCTGAAAGTGTTTAAGTTCCACTTTTCACGTAGAGGAATTTAAAGTTTTTTATACAAAGAATTAAGTTTTAAACTATTAAAATCAAAAAAGTCTTACCACAATGTTCCTAAGATATATACTGCACAAATATGCCTCCTTAAAAGAAAAAATAGAATTAATCTTTTGAAGTGTCTATAATTTCTAGTTTTGCATCTCTGTTTGAATGTAGTGTGAATTATTCTATTGTCTTTTCACTTTTTTCTCTTTTTGAACCAGAGTTTTGCTGTACAGCCCAGACTGGCATTGAACTTGAGATCCTCCTCTCTCAGCCTCCTGAGTGCTAGTGCTACCACACCTAGCTACTTTTTCCTTTTTTTATTTTTTTGTGGTGCTAGATCAAACCCCTGGGATGGTCAAATGGTTTTGATATTTTGTATATTTCTACTCAACTTATTCTCTCATCTGAATTATTAAGGGCAAAGGTTACTGTCTTTTCCATCTGCATTTGTTACCTGAGTTTTCTCTGTCTTCCAGAATCCCCTATTTTGAAACCAGTGCTGCCAATGGGACAAACATAAACCAAGCAATTGAGATGCTCCTAGACCTGATAATGAAGCGAATGGAACGGTGTGTGGACAAGTCCTGGATTCCGGAAGGAGTGGTGCGGTCAAACGGCCACACCTCGACAGATCAGTCAAGTGAAGAGAAGAAAGGGGCATGTGGCTGTTGAAAAATCAAGTGAGCAACACAGTAATTCAGGTTGCCTGGGTCTGCGATCATCTCTCTGGCTGTGTACATGGCACAGTGAGATCAACACGCATTGTATACAAACTGCTTCTTACCATCTCCATTAGACCTGCTAATAAAGCATCCAGTTTTAAAATTAATTTGCTACAGCTTTGTAAGATTTCAGCCTGAGAATTAGGAGAACTATATCACAGAGCCAAAAGTGCCTTATAAAACCCAGCCCACAGTGGCAGATCACAGAAAAGTGTATCTATTTCATAGAATTCTGATGATACCTTCACTTGCATTAAAGTAGAAAGACCCAGAGTCTCACATTAAAATCTTAGATGCAATTATAAAACCATCACAGTCTTGAGTCCAAATTCAAGGCAACCTAAATTGACATTCTCTACCACTTGCATGTTAAATAAGAATATGCACGTACATTGGCTCAATGTCTTTCAGTGTTATTTTATGTAAGCATTTCCTTTATGTTGATGTAGACAAAGTATGGCCATATCTTTTGACTCTGGATAAACTGGATTGACTCACTGTGACTTCTTTTTGTTGGTGGGCAAGGGATTGGGTGGGCAGGAATGGTTAATGTAGTACGAGCAAGTAAAGAGGGGTTTCTGGCTCTCAGTTATATTTCCATTGCTCTGGAGGGTTGACTGCAGGATCAGGGAAGGAGAGTCCATGACTTCAGTTCACTGTGATCCATGCAATGATACTTGGCCTGTGTGTCAGTGCCTTCTGAATATAGGTGGTGTTTATGCTGTAGTTGTGATAAGTAAACATTTAGTTTCTTTCTCCTTGTGTTTATACTGTTGGTCTGGGATCCTCAGACTTCAGTTTCAATTAGCTTATAAGTGACTAATCTTGTCTTCACCATCAGGCTTGGTGTTGTTTGTATTTGCAATTTGTTTTATTTTTCTATTGGTGCAATTGAAGGAATTCATTTTTAATTACATAGAATGTTTGTTTGCTATTTAGTGGAACATGGAAGTTTGTATTTAAGCAGCCACATTTGTATTCTACTTCAATATAAGAAAAAAATAGAAGAGTTCAATAGCCTGTATTTTTCACTGGGATCATGGGCATTTTCTGGATCTATGAAGATCATGAATTCTGCCAAAGTGTCTTCATACCAAATTGAAGGTGGTTTGAAAATATGCCTCATACAAGTTGTTTATAAAGCTCTAAGGTATTTAATTTTGGGTGAATTTTTTATTTATTAAAGTGGCTTAAATAAAATAGAGTAACATTTCCAGAGAGCTTATTAGGAAGAAATAACACTTATTATAATCTAAATAAATGTATTTTGTGATAGCAAATATTTGGCATAGCTTTAATTAGAAAATAACTATGTTTACATGATAATTTTCAAATGGCCTTTTATTGGGCACCTATCAAGGTCTTTGCCAGTGCCCTTCCACTGTCCACCTATCACAAACTTAGCCATGGTTACTAAAATTTTGTATATTCCTATCCTTGAAATGAGGGCTTCTTTTAAATACCAAAGAAGTCATTGAGGCCTGTGTATTTAAATTGTGTTCTAGTAAGGAAAAGATACAGATGTTTCAAGGGCAGGGTCATCAGCATATAGCAGTGCCTTCTAAGTATGCCATAGGCCTTAAGAGAAGTATGTTAAAATTTTGCAGTTACTTATCAGGGCATATTTTATATGGTCTATTCATGTAAATAAAAGATAATGTTTGCATATTTCAGTTTTCAAGAACCAGAAGTGTAATTAGATAGATTCTGTTGCCTTTAAGCATAGCATACAATTAAATATATATTGATAGTGTGCCATACAAGAACCACCATGAGTTATTGAAATAACATATATTATCTTTGAAAATTGTTTAAATTTGATATCAAAGTATGATATTTTTGTGTGTCAATGTATTTTTTTCTATTTACAAGCCTGTGTAAAAGTAAAGTGTATCTTTAGTGAACCTCATGCCAATTACGTGATAATAAAAAAAAGGTCTGTCAAGTTTGTGTGTGAACATGACTTCATTTCTCATCCCAATAACGTTTCAAACCAGAAGTTGTGATGCTAAGCCAAATTTAAGATACAGATTCCATTAGATAGATGCTCATTGAGGGGACAGCCAAAGCTATATTCTAGAAAAAATAATTCAAAATGTTATAATCAAGTATTTATTGAGCACCTTTATTGTGAGAAATGCTGTACTAGGCAATCTCCAATGAACAAAAAAGAGTGATGAAGGCTGAATTAAGGTCAGAGCTGGGAGACAGTGCCAGGGACATTGGGAAAGTAGGCGTGTGGCCCTTCTTACCTCATTCCCTGCAGCTGTGCGTCTTAGTCTCCTTCAGTCCCTCAGTGTCCCTGCCCCACAGCGCTTGCATTGACTGTTCCCTGTCTGCAATGCTAGCCCTCCATGGTATCTGCAGGCCCCTTCCCCATCCTTTGAGACTGCCCAATGCCACCTCGTGCAACAACAGGACTTCAGTGACCACCTTACAATAAAATGGCAGTCACTGTCACAGCCCCAACCAGATGGTCACTCCCGGACCGTTACCCCGCTCCCCTTTTCTCTGTTATTTATTCATCACCAAGCCACATAGGTTTCTCTCCGTCCCCTGAGATACAGGCTGCACGAGGAGGGGCAGCAGGTTCTCCATGCTTCCACCGTTTGGGACGGAAACCGAGTTTATCTAGGGCAACTAGTAAAAAATAAGATGTTGGAGACAGCAAACCACAAACCAAAGCTATATCGCACTTTTTTTTTTTTTTTCTTGTGATGGGTCTGGGTTTTGAACTCGGGGCTTATACACTTGCAAAACAGGCACTCTACCGCTGGAGCCACATTTCCAGCCCACAAACCAAAGACAAAACATGGAAGGCGTGTAAATACTGAAGACAAACGCCACGAAAAGGCACTCAGAAGGCGGCGCCGAGTCACGCCCCGCTCGAGGGCAGGAGGAGGAGCAGAGCTTCTCCGCGGCTCTGCACCTGCGCCGAGCAGTGACGCGTTTGCTCGCCCGGCCGCGAGAAAGCGCCGTTGTGTGCGGATTGCTTCCCCAAGGGTTGCTCAGACGCTTCCTTTTCCGGGTCGGGGAAGGAAGAGAATCACTTCCGGGGCGGGTGACGTCACTTCCCTCGAGTTTGGCGTTTGGTGGGTGGGGTCCCACGCGGGTTCAACATGAGAATCGAGAAGTGTTACTTCTGTTCAGGGCCCATCTACCCGGGCCACGGCATGATGTTCGTCCGCAACGATTGCAAGGTGAGCGGCCGAGGCCAGCGCGAGTCCAGCCCTCTCGGCGCCGGGTCTTTCCGAGTGCGTAGCCGGGGCTCGGCCTCAGCCTCGCGCTCGGGATCTCTTCCTTGCTGGTGTAGCAAGGGGAGCGGGCCACCCCGCCACCCTTGGGTTGGATAGAGATTCGGGAGCTATCCTGGCCAGCACGACGGGGAATGTGGGGGGTCTCTTAGGGCTCGTTGGACACTCTTATGCGTGGGCCCGCTCTTCAATCAAACTTAAATGCATGCCTTATTACCCATTATGCTAATAAGGTCTGTGTCCATAGGGACTAACAAGAGATGGGACTCCGTAATGCGTAGATGTTGATGGAAATGCTGCATATGCTTAATAGCAGAGTTACATATTGTTATTGGAGGTGAGTTGGGGAGAGTCCTGTACGGGAAGACTCAGGATGGAGGTGACATTTATACTAGATTTTGAATTTTGCCTGCAGAAGAGGGAACATTCTAGGTAGAAGAAAAGTGAGCAGTTCAAATAAAAATGCAGAATGGAGCAATACATCTTTGCAGAAGTGTTTGGCTTGTAAATGATGACAGACTTGGGGTAGGGCCACAGGTACAAATATAAATCTGTAAATATAAACATGGATAGGAGGCCTAGCTTTGTGAGTGACACATCAGTTCATCCTCTCATAACAGAATCTCATTCCTCATTCGCAGAATTTGACCTCTTTTAAATCTGCTGAATTACTGGGCATTTGTTAAATATACACATTCCTGGTTTCCACCAGCTTTGTTGAGTTGAAACCTCTGTGGAAGAGAGGAACAGGATCTCAGAATCTAACAAAGTGATTTTGACGTGCTGAAGAATTACACTTTCTACTTCATCAGCTTATATCTCTTGGTATAATTCAAGCATATTGACTTCATTAAGTTAAGAAGGACAGTATCCTCCAGAAAGTGAGGAACCAAACCTATGTGGAAGATATTGAATACTTACTTTCAGGAGTACAAAAACTTATGGAAATGCACCAAAAGATTGCCAGATTGGGGTCTAGTTCACAGCGGGCAGTGTGGTTTTGTAGATGATCTGGTCACCAGGATTTTATGATTTTTTTTTCCCAGCGTTGCTTCTCAGCTGGATGTTGGAATTGTAACATCAGATCATGGGAGCTATTGAGAATTGAGTTTTGATTTTGTAGACACAGTGAAAGTTAAAGTTGATGAAGAAACACATATGTGTATGTATATAACATATATAAAAAAAACTGGTGGTGCTTGGGGATTGTGCCCAGGACCTTGAGCCTACCAGGCAAGTGCTCTACTATTGAACTGCATTCCCAGCCAGAAGTCATTACTGCTAGCAAGGACAGTGCTAAGTTGGCTAGGAGTGAGCTTGACCTAAGGAAGACCAGTGGATCCAGAACAGAGTTGACCAGGGTAATGAGACAATCAATATCACCCTCATGTGCCTACAGAGTTTTGCTAGACATGTGACAGTCATCTTTGTATCTTTCACCTGTTGTGTCACCTTTTCAAATCCTGTCCATTCTGCCTCTGCAAGGATATTGATGTCTGCCTTCTTTTTGCCCTCCTAGTCTAGTTTGAATATGTACTTGTCACTTTTATAGCCTTCTCTAAAGTCTTTCAGCCTTTGTTCTCCTAGCCTGTGAGGCTATCATAGTTACCTCTTCTCAGTTACCTTCTTAAGGATAGAGTTATTGCTTGTGCTCTGTTTTCATATCCTTTGCAAACGAGAAAGACACAATTTTAATGAGGGCTTAATAAATGTTTGAACTAGTGGAATAGGAAGGTTTGAAGAACTTTGAGACTAAGGTTTATATGGATCATTTTTTGGCATGTTGAAAACCGAAAGCAGTAGAAAACTAGATTAAAAGGAAAACGTGAGCAGGCAGAGTGGCTCAAGTGGTAGAGTGCCTGCCTAGCAAATGTGAGCCCCTGAATTCAAACCTCAGTACAAAACAAAACACCCAGTACTGAAAAAAAAAAAATTATCTCAAAAAGGAAACTGAGCCTATAAAGCTTTGCCTTGTATATGGTCTGTCCACTGCCTACCCCATACCTCATACCTATTCCTATATTACTTTATGTATTGTTCCATATGGCTTTATCGCATTGTTTATATGCTGGTCTGATTTCAGTCTTGCTTGCACAATGAGACTATCACATTGTTAGACTAAACTTCTCAAAGGTAGAATACAGTATTTTACTCATTCTGGTATCCCTGTCACCTAGTGCAACACTAAGCTCATAGATGTTTCTTATTTACTGATTGAATCCCCTTCACATCTCCAATGACTCCAGTCTCTTCAGATACTTCATTGTGCTTTTCAGGTAATAAATGTTAGATATGGAGTCAAATAGACTTCTTCTTGACTCTATTTAGAGTTGAGAAGACCCAGAACAGATTCAAATCCATCAGGCAGATCTCAGAAATAAGGATTTGCCTAGAGGTTATCTCTTAGATATTACATGTTGAAGACTTTTACTTAAAAGGGTAGCAGTATTTGTATAGAAAATACTCAGAATTTTCTGAGAATGATTACATACTAGGAGACTAGTAATTCTCATATTTTTTAGTTGATTGAAATTAGCCCAAGGTTATAGACATGCTCTTATTCTAGTCTCTTAGGAGAGCCCTCTCCAGCAGATTTAGGTTTAGAGCAGATTAAACTGGTATTGACAGTTTCTAAGAAAACTTCCCTACTAGTGTAGTGCCCTGCTTGAAGTTCCCTATAGGACAAAGTGTATAAAGTGAAAAGTGTTATGATTTGTGATATATATACAGGCTTTCTTAGTTTGAAATAATTTATACTGCTCATTTTAACCTATTGTATTGGATCATATGTTCTTGGTATGATACTTAATTTTCTTTGCCAAAGTCCATAAACCACAAATAATTACTTTTCATATTTCTTCTAGTAACATACACAAATTGCAGTGTTTCCTCTTATTACAAAGTAACAAAATAATGCACTTTAGACATATAAAGTGAGTTAATAATATATTTCAGGCATATATTGAAGCATTAAATTGTAAGTTACCACTATTACAGAGTCACATCTTTTGGATAAAGGTCAAGAATTAAAGTAGTCAAAGACTCTTACTAGTAGATCTATGAATAAATACTTCAGCATCTGTTGCCGGATGTGATGGTGTACGCTTGCAGTCCTGGTACCCAGGAGGTTAAAGCAGGAGGATCGTGAGTTTGAGACCAGCCTAGGCTATGTAGTAAGACCCTGTCTCAAAAAAGGAAAAAAAAAAAAAAGGCAAAAAGCAAATTCACTGTAGAACTCATCAAATAGTAATTACAGGGGAAAAATACAAATCTGCTGACAGTTTTAGTTACTTTTGATATTATTTTGGCCAGGTGCCAGTGGCTCATGCCTGTAATATTAGCTATTCAGGAGGCAGCGATCAGGAGGATCTATTTGCCAGTCCAGTCACAAAAATAGTTCTTGAGACCCTATCTCAAAGATACCCAACACAAAAAAGGGCTGATGGAGTGGCTCAAGCGATAGAGCGCCTTCCTAGCAAGGGTGAGGCCCTGAATTCAAACCCCAGTACTGCCAAAAAATGAGAAAAAAAATTATTTTGTGCTTTTGATAAGAAGGATGGAAAGAATTAAAGGAGATTTCAGAATGGTTGTTTGAAACTTTTATCCTGATTGCGGTATATAGAAAAGTAATTTTGAGAATTATCCTGAATTGAGAAGGAACTTAAATTTTCTTAAAAAAAGTTCTCTCTTTATTCAAGATCATTATGTTTTATTGTTATTGCATAAAATCTGATCAGTAGTTTTTTATTTATATTCTGAATGAGTAGCCTTTAATTGGGGTGATATTTGACGGTCACAGAACAAGTTCAGTTTTCATTTATTCTGATATGCCCCTCACCTTTCTAAATGGCGTTGCAAGGAGAAGGAACTGTGAGTAGAAACCACTGTCCTTTCTCAGACTTTACAGTATTTTTATCTGATGGATTGCATCCTATGATAGAAAATTTTTAATGTTGACATTGCAATATTTTAACTTTTCTCGTAGGTTTTCAGATTCTGTAAATCCAAGTGTCATAAAAACTTTAAAAAGAAGCGCAATCCTCGCAAGGTCCGGTGGACTAAAGCGTTCCGAAAGGCAGCTGGTAAAGAGCTGACAGTGGTGAGTTCAGTTAGCTGTTGGGTGGGCACTTACTCATGTAAAAGGTGGTGGTGAGGAACGGGGGACGGGACGGACGGGATGGGTGGGGACGGACACACAGGACATTGTGAGCTAATTAACCCCGACACAGGTTTTTTATTATTATTCATATGTGCATACAATGCTTGGGTCATTTCTCCCCCCTGCCCCCGCCCCCTTCCTCTCCCCCCCACCCCCTCAATACCCAGCAGAAACTATTTTGCCCTTATCTCTAATTTTGTTGAAGAGAGAGTATAAGCAATAATAGGAAGGAAAGGGTTTTGCTAGTTGAGATAAGAATATTATACAGGGAGTTGACTCACATTGATTTCCTGTGCGTGTTGTTACCTTCTAGGTTAATTCTTTTATTCTAACCCTTTTCTCTAGTTCCTGGTCCCCTTCTCCATTGCCTCAGTTGCTTTTAAAGGTATTTGCTTTAGTTTCTCTGCGTTGAGGCAACAAATGCTAACTAATTTTTAGGTGTCTTACTATCCTCACCCTTGTGTCTCCGCTTTATCATGATCAAAGCTATCCCTTGTTGTTTTCCCTTGATCTAATGTCCCACATATGAGGAGAACATACGATTTTGGTCTTTGGCCAGGCTAACCTCAAGGAATGATGTTCTCCAATTCCATCATTTACAGAATATAACATTTCATTCTTCTTCATGACTGCAAAAAATTCCATTGTTATAGATACCACATTTCTTTAATCCATTCGTCAGTGGTGGGGCATCTTGGCTGTTTCCATAACTTGGCTATTGTGAATAGTGCTGCAATAAACATGGATGTGCAGGTGCCTCTGGAGTAACCGACACAGGTTTCTATAATAGGGTTGTGAGTGTTTTATCGTATTTGGCTATGGAGATAATTCATTCTCACATGATTCCAAAAACCATCATTCTGTAGACTTCTGAAAAGGAAAAAAATTCCCACTCCAGTTTTGTAGAAGTGATTTCTCTTAGCCTCACAAAACTACTTTTAGCCCTTGCAAACAAAGAGGAAAATCATTTAAATGGATTGGAGTCAAATTAGAAAGTGCTACTCAAGGATTTTGAGAGAAAATTAAGAGATTAATTAATTAATTAGTTAATGTAGCAGTGAGGCTCAGATGAGGTTTGTAATAGACTCATTTATTAGATTTCCTTAGCAGGACTTTGTTTTTTTTTTTTTTTTTATTTTATTATTCATATGTGCATACAAGTCTTGGGTCATTTCTCCCCCCCGCCCCAACCCCCTCCCTTACCACCCACTCCGCCCCCTCCCTCTCCCACCCCCTCAATACCCAGCAGAAACTATTTTGCCCTTATTTCTAATTTTGTAGAGAGAGTATAAGCCCATAATAGGAAGGAACAAGGGTTTTTGCTGGTTAAGATAAGGATAGCTATACAGGAGTTGACTCACATTAATTTCCTGTGTGTGTGTGTTACCTTCTAGGTTAATTCTTTTTGATCTAACCTTTTCTCTAGTTCCTGGTCCCCTTCTATTGGCCTCAGTTGCTTTTAAGGTATCTGCTTTAGTTTCTCTTCATTGAGGGCAACAAATGCTAGCTAATTTTTTAGGTGTCTTACCTATCCTCACCCCTCCCTTGTGTGCTCTTGCTTTTATCATGTGCTCAAAGTCCAATCCCATTGTTGTGTTTGCCCTTGATCTAATGTCCGCATATGAGGGAGAACATACGATTTTTGGTCTTTTGGGCCAGGCTAACCTCACTCAGAATGATGTTCTCCAATTCCATCCATTTACCAGTGAATGATAACATTTCGTTCTTCTTCATGGCTGCATAAAATTCCATTGTGTATAGATACCACATTTTCTTAATCCATTCGTCAATAGTGGGGCATCCTGGCTGTTTCCATAACTTGGCTGTTGTGAATAGTGCTGCAATAAACATGGGTGTGCAGGTGCCTCAGGAGTAACCTGTGTCACAGTCTTTTGGGTATATCCCCAAGAGTGGTATTGCTGGATCAAATGGTAGATCAATGTCTAGCTTTTTAAGTAGCCTCCAAATTTTTTTCCAGAGTGGTTGTACTAGTTTACTTTCCCACCAACAGTGTAAGAGGGTTCCTTTTTCCCCCACATCCTCGCCAAACCTGTTGTTGGTGGTGTCTTAGCAGGACTTTGTATCTGAGAACAGGGAAATTAGTTAGTAGGAAGTCAAGGGGTGAGGGGATTTCCCCGCCCCCATGATCATATTGGTGTTATTGAATTGATACAAGGGTCTGTTGGAGCCTTTCCACATTTGATCCCTATAAAGCAAGAAGATGAAAACTGTAGCACAGGCTCCCTTGGTAGAGGAAGATCTTTAAGTTGCCCCCTCCCTCCATGGTTGCTCTTCCCACAAGCCCACAACCTCATTCTCCTCTCCTCCTTAAGGGCAGTATCTACAAGCATTGGTATGAAGCCTTTCCTTGGCCTCCCTAACACCAGAGCTTTTCAGTGAACATACAGAATATTACTGGATTAGAAGCAAGGCCAAGTTAGTTCAGTGTGGGCAAAAAGTAGCATAGCCACATCCAGTGCACATGACATGAGTAAAGAAAGAGCCCAGTCACAGTTATTTGCTGGTTTCCAGTTTCTGTAATTTGCTACCTAGCAAGCACACAGTAATGTGCTCTGGACAAAGTGATGTGTTTATAAATGAAATAGCTAAATATAGAGTTTGCGATATTCCATATGCCATTGTCACATTTAGAAACCTAGGAATGCCTATAGCTTTTCCAAAATTGTTTTAAGATTAAGGATCATTTATTTTCAAAATACTAACAACTAGAAGTGGTATTTTGGAGGGGACCTGAAGAAATTCAGGGCAAAGGTTATATTCTGCAGAGAAGCAGCACATTTATTTGAAGATGTATAGTTTCATACCTTTTTGGTATAAGAGATAAGTATGTAGGTTGAACCATAATGAAATTCTGGGTGTTTGGCTCTATGAAAAATGTTAATTTCATGTGGTGTGTAATAGTGTTTTCTGGCTTTGAGTCTCATCTTGGAGGGGGGAACTGGAGAAGCTTTTTTGGTTTGTGTATAATCCCTATGGCTGTTATACGCTTCTCTGAGAGATGGGGTGTACCTCTCTCCCTTGGATGATTACCTGTATAAAGAGAGATTTTCAGTAGGGTGTCTTGTACACGGAGGTATGCGAAGTAGGAAAAGATTGAAAATCTACATTCTCTCTGATGCCCTAAGGAACCATATGCATCCCCTCAAAATGTCTGTGAATATATGTTTTAAAAAATGCTTCCTTGACTGGGCATGGTGGCTCCATGCCCAGCTACTTGCTGAGATCTGGAGGCTTGCAGGTTGAGACTAGCCCATGCAAAAAGAACCCCATCTCTGCCAATGAAAACCTGGGCATAGTGACACATGCCTGCCATCCTGGTTACATAGGAATTATAAATAGGAAGGTTGAGGTCTAGGCTGGCCCTGACATAAACGCAAGACCCTAACTTAGAAATAACCAAAATAGAAAGGGCTGGGGGCGTGGCTCAAGTGGTAGAGCAACCACCTGGTAAGCACAAGACCTTGAGTTCTACCACCCTTCCCCCAGTACTGAAAAAAAAAAAAAAAACCAAAAAACCTTTGTATCTTATCACCACCCGTTCTTTCTTACAGGACAACTCGTTTGAATTTGAAAAACGTAGAAATGAACCTGTTAAATACCAGCGAGAACTATGGAATAAAACAAGTAAGTCACCGGGGAACACTGGGAGACTGGTTTGGGGGGTAGTACTATAACTTTAAATGCCATTTTCTTGTTTTTATTGCTTGGCTTTTATTTTTCCATCCTCATTTTAGTGCTTTTGTTGTATTTGTAGCTTTATAAGTTATCCCAATTTCAGAATTGGCTGTTGTACCCATTATAGAAATAGTGTAATTATTAATTTTGGATTGCCACACAGAGTGAAGTAGATAAGGAAAATACTTGTTTGAGGTGAATGTGGCACAGTTAAAATAGTTGTAAAACCTTTATACGTTTAGAGCAGTTGGTTTAGGGATAAACTGTTTACTGTATAACATAAAATTTAGGGGCTTCTTTAAAATTAAAAAGTGCAGTACCTAAGGTGATCATTACAGATTTTTTAAGAGAACTTCTAAGTGCTTGACTTAGGTAAAATGAAGTTATAGGCTACTGAAATTAAAAGCAATAATTTCTAGCTTGTGTCTTTTTTTTTTTTTCCCTGAAGTCGCCAGAGACTAATGAAAAAAGTCACATGTGTAAACCTTAGTTCCTTGAGTGTGCTCATAGATCACACTATATTTGCATGTGATTGAAGCTCTAGGCCTGCCTTCTTTATACAGCCTTTAGCCATTCCCTGTATTCAGGTGTGTGTGTAGTGTAGTGTAGTGTAGTGTAGTGTACTGTAGTGTAAGCTTAGAATTCCACAAGTTTTATTACTTTCCTAATGGATCAAAGATTGGAGGACATCCCTTTCAATACATTTTCTCCAGTAAGTCAGCTGCCTCAGGGAAAGAAATAAGAAAGCTATGAACCTTTGTAGTAGTTTTTGACAGTTTCCCAAACTTTGTCTTCTTGGACCTTGTTTTGGTATCAGAGTTATATCAGAATTGCCTTTTTTACTACATAACTCTAAGTAGTCTTTTTATTTTGTTCAGTAATTAGAGGCAGAGTTAATTTCTGAAAAGCATTTAATTTTATTGGGTTTATTTGATAAGGAAATAACACTGATTCAGACTAAGGAGTTTATTTCTAGGGTTTATTTAAAGGTTAATAAGTTCATAGGATTCTCACATTAATTTCAAAAGTCAACTCCTGTCAAGGTATAAGGCTCTACAACATTTCTGGACCACATTCAGTATTACTTCATATTGACTTTTTCTTTTTTTTTTTTTTGTGGTACTGGAGATCAAACGAACACTCATGTTAGTTATGTGAATATTCAGTTACTCAGTGCTGTTTTCATGTTATTTACATTGCTCAAGAGAAGTACTGGTGTTTAATAGTGATGTCCTCTGCAGTTTTTAATGTATTTCAGTTCAGATACATTTATTAAGCTCTCCCTCTCATGGGCAAAGATGAATAGGTCATACACAGCCACTGCCCTCTCCTATTAAGGGTTTTCATTAGATGTAATTGGTTCAGGTATTACCTCCCTCATTCATTTATATAGCTGTAAATTTTATAAGAAGCAGTACTGTATTTTTTTTCTGCACAGATTCCGTTATTCTTCTTGTATTAGGATCCTAAAAGTAGACTTTTTGAAAATCTGAGTAGAAAGTATGAGAGTCTAAAAATTGTTTTCTTCTGTTTTGCAGTTAACAAAATTGCTGTCAATTAGTATTCCAGAAAAATGTATTTTACTCTTCTGAGAGATTGGCTCATTTTCCCATGCCTCATATTTCATGTGTCACTGTGGTTGGTGTGAATTGAGATGTGCTGTAAATGTAAAATACATGCTATATTTTGAAGACTTGGTATGAAGACAGGAATAAAATATCTGATTAAACATTTTTTATATTTATCTGCATTTGGAAAGTACAGTGTCTCAGATATGTTGAGTTAAAATATATCATTAAATTTCCAGGTGGAAATTTTATTTATTTATTTATTTCATCTTTTACTTTTTTTCTTGTTGTACTGGGTGGAGATTGAACCCTGGGTCTTGCACATGTGAGGCAAGCATTCTACCACTCAAGCTACCTTTCCAGCCCCTTTTTTTTAATATCTACTAGAAAATTTAAAATAACATTTGGTATGACAGTACTGACATGGATTTTAGAATATAGTTGGACTCAGTTGGACGCAGTTCCTGTATAGCCAAGGATCCCATAGATATTTTCCAAAGCAGTTGGATTATGGTGGTTGAAATGTTGTGGTATTGACTGATTTGGTTCATTGCAATCTATATCCCAAGTGTTTGTGATAAGAAGGGTACTGTCTGTATTTATGGACATTACAAACTAAGAATGAAGTTAGTTGCCATAAATCCAAAATCTCTATAGAATAAAATTTGAAAAACATTGGATTGGTTTAAAATAGAAGGAGAGTTTCAAAGCAGTAAAGGCTTTTGTAAAACACAAATTAGAGAAGTGATTTTTGCAAAAGTGCAAATCGACACTGATGACAGCGCAAGTACATACCTTTTAGCTTTTTCAGTAAAGGCTGTTTTTGCAGTTTTTTTCATTTAAATTTGTTTTTAAATCAGAATAATGAAGTGTGTGTTAAAGCATTTGTTAATTATAATCATACTGCTTGAATGTGCATAAATGTGTTAATTATAATCATACTGCTTGAATGTGCTAATTTTTAATGTTTGTTCCTAGTTGATGCAATGAAGAGAGTGGAAGAGATCAAACAGAAACGTCAAGCTAAATTTATAATGAACAGGTATGAAAAGTTGTGTAGAGTTACTCCTGAAAAAATAAGTACTAGTAGATTTTGGGAGGCATTAGCATTTTTTAAAAGCTTGACATATCTTCAGACTTAAAAAAATTTGCAAGACTTGTATGAAGATATGTTGCTTATTCTGTTAGCATTTTGCCACATTTACTTATCATTGCCACTATGTATAGTGAGTTGAAGCCATAATGCCATTTCAGTTTATATGTTCTGTAAATAAGAACATTCTCTTATATACATAGTGTAGTTACTGAAGTCAGGAAATAAGCACTGATGCAATCCTATTGTTATGTATTCCAGGGACCATGTCTAGATTTCACAAGTTCTTATAATGTCCTTCATAGCAACAGAAAAATTCTGGCTAATGCATTACATTGAAGAGTGATCTTATCTCTTTAGGTTTCTTTAATTTGGATGGTTTCTCAGCTTCTTTGTCTAACATGACATTTGCCATTTTGGTCAAGTCATTTTATAGAATGGTCCTTAATTTGGGTCTGGTCTAATGTTTTCCTCATGATTAGATTTAGATTAGGCACCTTTGGCAGGAATGTCACAGAAGGGCTGATGTGTCCTCTAATCAGGAGGTATATGATGTCACCTTCACTTTACTATTAACTTTGATCATGTGGTTATGGTGGTGTCTGCTGGTTTCTCCACTGGAAAGTTACTAGAGTTTCCTTTAGTAACTGATACGTATCTTAGGGAAGACACAATAAGAAAAGCATACACTTTTCTCCTCACACTTGCACCTATTGGTTTTAGCATCCATTTCAGAGTCTTGCCTGAATCAGGATGGTGGTTATTACCAAATAGTGGTTTTTCTAATTGCATCATTTCTTCTATGGTTCTTACTTGGCAGTCCTATGTAAGAGCTTTCCCTTTTCCCCCAGTTTCAAAATTCACTCCTTTATTCATGGTTATGTCATGTGCATATATATATTCATGGATTCTCATGTATTCAGTGGGTTATAATTCTTTATTGTCATGATGATTTATTTTGATTTTCTAAGGGGCCCAAGTTTGGCCGGTAGGAGTTCTTCAGACAGGCTCTCATTTCATTTTGATGGTTCCCTTTTATTCTTTGAATGCTTCATTGTTTTATGGTTAATGAGAAGTTTCAAGCCTCAACCTGTACTTTCCATGCCCCAGCTTGGAATTATTTCTTCAGAGCAGGAGGATTAGCTTTCATGCCATGGAAGTCTTATAGAAAAAGGCATGTGCTGGTAGTTTGTTGCCCAGAAAATACTAAAGCACTTCAGAAAAGGGGTCTGAATGAGAACTAGTCTGTTAGCATTTCTGCTTAATGTCATAGGTGTTTTGTGCTCTTGTAATTACTGAACGATTTTTTAAAAAGTACATAACACAGATTGTGTTATTTATTTGAGGAGAAAAGATCTAGGCACTTGCATAATTAGAGATTGTTTTATGTAGTAGAACACTGTATGTGTATAATGATCACTGGTTTCTGAGGTCCGTTAGTTCCTTAATCATACCCCTCATTCATTATGAAAATATATATTGAGCCCCAATTTTGTGGTGGACTAGGCACAGGAATACAATAAGTTGGTAGTTTTGGAATCCTGCTTAAGCCAATTAGGAACTTGAAAATAATTTAGAGATTGAGTTGTTAGGGAAGAAAATGTACATCTGTTAGGCTCAGCAGGTAACTTTGCCTTATATTTATTCGGGATAAATATAAGATGGAGAGTTCACTTGCCATTTGGGTGTAAATTGAGAGAGCTGTTGATGTTTCTGCCTGGTGGAAGAAGAGAGGCAAAGCAAAGGGAGAGAATAGAAGGGCAATCATCTCGTTGCTGTTTCTCATCTGTGTGACTAACTTAATAAAATTTAGTAGCTACATTGTGAATTGATATCTTTTAAAGAAATCTTAGTAACTGAAAGTTTGACTTTTTGTCTTATCCTAGATTGAAGAAAAATAAGGAGCTACAGAAAGTTCAGGACATTAAAGAAGTCAAGCAAAACATCCACCTTATCCGGGCCCCTCTCGCAGGTGAGTGCCACGTTGCACGGTAGTTCTGCTCTATGTAGAGAGAGGACAAAGTTAGAGTTGTGGTCCCTGCAATTAGGTATCAGTTAACTTTCTAAGGGTATTTTTTCATTTAAGTGTTATTTCACAGTACATTTATGATATGATGTGATTTATTAAATGTAATGTATTCGTTATTTTTTCCAGTTCCAGTCTGTTGTATATGGAATTTCTTTTCCCTCTTCATACAGTCCTGTCTTGCACTCATTATCTCTCCAAGTTAAATGAAGTGATTTGAGTTACAATGTCATAGATGATTTTTGCCTCATGCCTGTTTTGTTTAAAAGACATGTTTTATATTAGTGGTTCTCAAACTCTGGTTTGTATTGGAATTATTTGGGGAACTAATGTAAATGTGAAGGCCCAGAACCTTTGTAGTTCTCAGGGTGGTGCTGACACTAGAATTTGAGTGTGACTTTTTTTGTATTAAAACCTGTTACTTATGAATCTTACTAGTAGTCACTCATTTGGGCAGTTGTTGTGAGGTCCTAGAAAACTAGTCTTTTACTCAACTGGATCGAAGCACAGTTTGTTATCTAATTTACTACATATGCAGACTATTTAAAGGGAAGAAGAGAAATCTTGCCTCAGTAAGGTCCACAAGTAGAGTTGATTTGTGTGTAAGTCCTACCAGGTTATGTTTGTGCCAAATTCTATTAAAACTAAATAGACAAAATCCTGGAGCATTTGTTTCAAATGTAGATAATATGAACTGATACCCAAAAAGCGACAGGAACGAACCATTGTTACCTTATTTGTTAGGTAAACAGCCGACTTGGAAGTGGGTAGTGCAGTGTTAACAACGTGGACCCTGGTTCCAGGTGACCAGGGTTCAGATACCAGTTTTTTGAGTTAATAGACTCACTAGTTGAGTGACTTTGGGCAAGTGAATCTGTCTCTGTGACTTAACTTTCTCATTGTTTAAATGAGGGTTTTTATGAGGATGAAATGATAGTTGCCTGTAGAATGCTTACTTTATGCATTCATAAGATTTGTGTAAGTCTAGCCATTCTTGAATTTCTTAGAAATGGCTTATAGTTTTGTAAGTCGAGATCCTTTACAAAGTAGTGACATAAATTCTGCAAGGTCACATTAAATTGACAGTGTTTTTTATTATTTTTTTTTAAGGCAAAGGAAAGCAGCTGGAAGAAAAAATGGTACAGCAGTTACAACAGGATGTGGACATGGAGGATATTTCCTAGAAATCTCACTGCCTATAGCCTTTTGTATATGCATTTAAAAATCTGTGCAGACTTAGAACTTCTAAATTATTGATTTGTTACATATGGTCACTTGGATGGAAGGCTATTAAAAATACTTTTCTCCTACATTGCTGCCTGCAAAACATCAGATTATGGAGTCAGGTTGCATCTCAGATTGCAGCTGTCTTCATTGGTAGATGTGCTTAAGTAAATCTCAGAAGTTCTCTGTGTGAACACAGAAGTGAATTGTGGCCATTCAATGATCATGACATTTGCAAACTGGCCCCAGGCAACATTTACGTAGTAAGTTACTACAGAATTCCATGGCTGTGACATACAAAATAAAATTTTCTTTGCAGTAAAATTCTCCTTTTATTAATATTACAGAAGGTAGATATAACAAGGAACTAAAAGTTTATATGACAACCTCAGTGTCTTTTATTCTGATTTCAGTTTTTCTTTTTTTTGATTTATTGGCTTCTTGGAGGAGCATGGTGGCCTCATACAGTGAAGCCAGGTTATGCTGTGATGTTTGACCTGGTTTACCTGTTCTGATAATTGTGGATGTTGGGAGGAGAGTTGAGTTGAATAATCTTTGCCTGAAATGGCACTGTATTTTTTTCTGCTTTGGAAAGTACTCAGTTCTAACTTGTGATTATTGAAAGAGCAAGCCTTTCTTCCTCTCCCACTACCCTACTTTACCAGCTTAGAGAAGAATCTCAGTGCCTTTTAATGTTTATTGTGTGGTTTTCTTTAAAAAACCTCCTGGCTGATTTTGGAAAACAGAATTTATGGACAGAATATCTGTCCATTATTTATACATAAAATAAAACCATTTCTAAGGTAAGTGCCTGTATATTATTTAAAGGTATGAAGTATCTGTTACTTAGAAGAACTTCCTCTATACACACCACTTTAATAGGAAATATAGTTAATTAAGGAGAAATAATGTGCTTAATATTTCATGGCAGTATATTTTTATTTATAATTAAGTGCATGAAGATATTAAATAACAGCTTGCATAGTGTTTTTTAAGGACAGAATTTGGAATAAATTATAAACCTTGGGGTTATATAATGATAAAGTAATGGTTAATCTGTTATTTTAGTATTAGGTAGTAAAATGTGGATCCATCTCTGGACACGTTTTAGAAGTTCTAAATTCCAGTGTGGTTTTGCCTTGTTTTCTTATTATAAAATGTGGCTTATTTGGAAACACTTGTTATGTAAAGACTAAGGGGAATGATATATACAAGGAAAGGTATTTCTTGATTTTTTTTTCTAGTTACCATACTTATGTTCAATACGAACACGTTTAAAATTATTTATTATTAGGAAACAAGTTTTGTACTCGCTAGTTTGAGAGCAAGCTGCTGTGGCTTGAGCCCATCAGTTTGGGGAAATTGGCTGAGCTGAAGAATTTACATTGTGTTCAGATGTAGTGTCCTAGTGGTTCTGTCACTGTCACAATATAGTATTGTGAGGACCCCAATATCATTCTAAGCTGTAAGGACATTCATGCACAGGTTTATTCTAAGACCGTTCTGTGTCTAGTTGGGTCACAGATATGTGAGTTACTTCTTTTAAAACACTGCCTGAGGTGCCTTCTTGGTGCTTTTAGGTTGCTTTACCAGCTTACCTGGCTGAGACCTATGCTGAGCACTCCAGGGATAGACATTCCCTACACAGCTTTTATGTGCTGTAACTGTTTTTAAGACCTGTGCAGTATTGGAAATCAGAGAAAGCAACATCCTTAATATGTATTCTTTATGATGCCTTTTGATACTCTTTTTTTTGTTGTTGTGGTTTGAGACAGGGTCTTGTTACGTAGCCCAGACTGGCCTTAAACTTGAGATACTCCTGCCTCAGCCTTCCAAGTGCTGGGATTATAGGTAAGCACCACCATCCTGACTAGGATGCCTTTTAAGAATGCAGAAAAAAAATTTCACATTAAAAAAACAAAAACAAAAAACAAAACCTTAAAAATAGAAATCCTATGAGGGCACTTATCCTGTAGATAGGAGTTGGAGAAGGACTGGTCGATTTTACAATGCCCTATGAGCTATATAGAATACTTTAATTTTATAGATGCCAAAGTTTGAGGCCCATAGAATTTTCAGCTAAAAGATGGAGGGGGTGGAATTTATATTCATACAAGTCTGTGAAGTCACCCTGTTGTATGTAGACAGTGTTTTGCCAGAGTCTCAGATGCAGTCCTCACAAGCCCAGATGATTGCCAAGAGATGAGTGCAAGTTACTTGAGTGACATCCAGCTTGATTGTGGCTTGGGTTCTTCATCTGAAAAAATAGAGACCATAATAAGGCAAGTCTTAGAGTTGTTTTTGTGAGGATTCAATCATATAAAATACTTCAAGGCTGCCACCATGTAAGCTAGCATTAAAATGTTAACTACTAAGTGTGACTGTGGGCTTACCAGCAGCAGTGGGCTTTGACCTGGGAGAAAGGTGGGGTTAGGATTTGGTGATAGCTGTGGCTACATTAGGTACAGTGCATTTAATCTCAGTATTAGCATTAGCCTTTGAATTAGCTAGAAAGTTCAGTTATTAAGAAGGACATCATGTTCCCCAGACATTGTTTTTAGAAATGGGAGGGGGAATAGCTTTCCTGCTCTAAAAAACTAGTAGCTTTTTTTTTTTTAAGTGAATAAGTAGCCATATATTTTATAGACTATATACGTGATACAAGGGAACTTGGCCCCCCACCCTCTCCTGTCCTTTAGCTTATGTTTTAGAAGAAGAACTGGTACCCCAGGGAAGATCATAATAAAACCATTACCTCCAGTCCCTACATGATAGTTTCAAATGAGTAAGATTAAAACCCTAGGGGGAGGCTGGGCATGTAGCTCAGTGGTACAGTGCATGCCTGTTTTTAGAATGCCAGCTGTTAAATACTTGCTTTGTTTACTATAGTCTAGTAAGGGTGTATATAGATGTTCTTCCACTTCTGATGAGGTTATGTCCTGATAACCCTATGTCCATTGTAAGTTGAAAATATCTTAAGTGAAAATACATTTAATACACCTAACTTACCAAATGTCCACAGTTTACCAACAAAAAGTATGAGTAAACCATCTTATATTGTGGGCCTTAAGAAATCAAGCCATGAATTCTTTGGAGGAACACCAATGAAAAACATGACAGCCTAGCCAGGTATGACTGCATGCCAGTAACCCCAGCTATGTGGGAGGTGGAGTCAGGAGGATCTCAAGTTCAAGGATCCCTGGCAAAGTTAGCTGGAGATCTTACCACAAAAACAAAGGACTGGGAGCATAGCTCTAGTGGCAGAGCACCGGAGGTCCTGGGTTCAATTCCTAGTATTGGAAAAAAAATTAGTTCATGAGTTACCCCATACAGTATTTTAGTCTATACTTAATGATGTTATCAATTATTTCCTAATACCAAGGATTGCAGTATAGGTAGTAAAAAATTATTAATGTCAGTACATTAAGAGGTACCACTACTCTAAAAGCAGATAATGATACAAAATACTGCTCAGATTGTGTTAAATTATAGGCACTTGGATATTGGATTTCCATTGAGTTTTTCTTCAATATTCCCATATTCTTGTTGCCACAACACCACAGCTGGTAGTTTTTTGATTTGTAGAGATTACAATTTCTCCATTTCTAGAAGTTCCACAAGAATTACCAGAAGATACATTAGGATACACAATGAAAATAAAAGTTTTGTAGGGGAAAACACCTCAAGGAATAAAACACCCAGGTTGCAACTTCTCAGTGCCTTTTAGCTACGCATTTGCAAACAGGATAAAGTACTACCTTGTCCCAGAGTTTCAACTTACAATGGACATAGGGTTATCAGGACATCACCTGATACCGTCAGTCCTGTGAGTTAGTCCTCTCCATTTTGCAGATGAGAAGCATGCAGGTAAGGAAGTTGGGTACGTCCATCCATGTCCCTAGTCACAACTAGCAGAGCTGAGATTTGAGCTCAGTGTGACTGATTACTAGCCTAAATCCTAAATAGCAGCTAGCCTGATACCTGGTGCATGCAAGGGAAAAAAAAATCTAGCAGGAAAAGAAAATGTTTTAGAGGAAATAATAGAGTTTATGGAGTAGTTTAATTTTGTATGTCACTAGAGTGATACTTTCACCAGTTTTAGGTGTGATGGGTGATATTCTAAGATTGAGTGTAATTAAAACAGCAAATTTAGCTAAATAAAGTTTTTTGAGGTTTACTGTTGAAAAATTACTATAGCAATGCCACTAGTTACAATATAATTATTGGGGGAACTATTTACATTTAGCCTTGGAATGCTTGCTAATCTTGTCATCTAGAGAAGAATTCTAAATTTTTTCAACAGCTGCTTCCATTTATGAGCAATTTCAGTATTAATTTTAAAATTTTTATTGTGTGTGAGGCATTGTTTACCTTATTTAGCAACAAAAGAGTTCATGTTATATTTGCAAATTTGAGTCATTGGAAAGTATATTCTTCTAGTTACAGTTCATGTTTTACAGAACTATTTAAATCTAATAGCTATTTATTGCACTTGTGCCAGTTCTTAAATTCTCCAAGATTGTTGGGATTACTGCCAACAAGAATTCTGTCCTTGTCCTGGGGGATGACAGTTCTGATGCTGACAAGCATCAAGCATCAAGTTTCATCTGAGGTGAAAAGTAGGTTTTGAAGACACCCAAGGTGCTATTGAGTCATCTTTCTGACAGCGAATCTAAGATGATACTGTCACAATGCACAGCACACAAGATAACACTTAATCCCCTCTGGGTTAGTTAATTGAAACTTCAGAAATAGCATGGGCCCAACTGAGCAAATCCTTTCTTTGAATTGATGGGGAGCCTACAATCATTAGAGAATAGGTATCTGCTATGATTTGACTATGTCCCCCCTAAAAAGCACATGTGGTGACTTAATCCACAATGCAGCAGTTAGGAGGCGGAACCTAATTGGAGGTTGTTCAGGTCATGAGGGCTCCACCTTAATAATCATGCTGACTATAAAAGGCTTGAGGCTGAGCTTGAACTCACCTTCTGATCTTCCATCATTGGACATTGCAGAAAGGAGGCCCTCACCAGATGCAGCTCCTTGATCTTGGGACTTCTCATCCTTCAGAACTGTAAACAA